TTTGTATTTGAATACTTGAATTAATGAAGTTATTTTTTTTTGAGGGATCTAAAAATGTGTCCTAGTTATTATTGACAATGTATCAATATATTGATTATTAGAGAGAGAATAGGCGTTTTGTGCCCTGGAGAAATCTCGGGTCAATTGTAAATCAGCACGATGCTGTTCCGGGATTTAAGAGCTTTTGCTCTACCCCCTCGCCACCCCCCTCTCCTGACCTCTGGGGTGTAAAGAAAATTGTTAAATTTCCTGTAACACGCCCTGCAGATAGATTTTAATGGAGTTGGTAACCCAGACACGTAGTCACTTTGCAGTGTGTCTGCTCTCGGGAGGCAGTAACACCCCGAGTATACTATAATACCTACGTACCGCAATACACCCATTTGACTCGTGACATTAATGTCATATGCGTCATTCAAAATCTATGATTGAAATAGGTCAATAAATGTGCCTCGCTAATCAAAATTATTCAGCGCATTATGAATGAAGAGAAAGAGAAATGCGTGTTTATGTCATTAAATCATTTCAAAAAATAAATATTGCGACAAAAAACGATAAATTGTCACTAAATCGTAATTGCTTCTCAATTGTTACAGTCATCAATTTTTTTTTTTGATTTATCGAATCAATTTTTACTTTTTTGCTACTTAAAAATGACGAAAAAAAATTTTAACTAATACCAGGGAAAGATTATTTCGATTTAAGTAGAAAAATCAATGTTTAGTCAGACTGTCAGTAAAATAGAAAATTTTGTTCATTAGAAAAAATGTGTTTTTATAAATATTAAAATACTATTTTTGTGTCTATTTCAAAATTTAGCTGATTATCCTTCCTATCAGTAGTAAATAATATTTTGTCATAAGTAGAAAAATCAATGTTTAGTCAGACAAATAGTAACATTTGGAATTTATAATAAAAAAATTATTTTATTAATTTTTTCTTTTTTTAATACATAAAATAACTACCAGTTGATTTATCTATTAAAAAAGAAGATTTTGTGTTGTCAACAAATTTTTTTATTTATACATTTATTTGCACTAATATGTTTCGTTATTGCATTAATTTTTTTTTATCTTTTTAAAATGCTCTTAATTATTAAATGAAATAAAAAAATTCTGCAACGATTTTCCTTACAGTAGAAAGCGTAATTACTGTACAGACGAGTTGTTTTTCATTGTTATCTCGTATGAATAAGAATAATTATCCATAAAATATACACACACATACAGATGATAAATGAATGTTTTTCAAGGAAGGATGAAGAGAATTCTTTTTTTTTATTATTTTACGTTTATAGTTATTTTTTCAGTTAGGCGGTATTTAAATTCTTCAAATTTCCTACTTAGTAGTAAAAAGTAGTTTTATCAGACTTTCCAAATTCTTGTAAATTTTGTTTAAGTAGTAAAAGTCCGTTTCGGTCAGACAATATTTAAATTTCGGAATTTAATTTCTCAGTAGTAAATGTCAATCTCGGTCAGACTTTGACAATACTAGTAAATTTTTGTTTTAAGTAGTTAAAGTCCTTTTTGGTCAGGCAGTATTTAAAATTTTGAAATTTCTTTCTCAGTAGTAAAATTCAGTTTCAGTCAGACTTTCCAAATTCTTGTAAATTTTGTTTTAAGTAGTAAAAGTCAGTTTCGGACAGACAATTTTTGAATTTCGGAATTTAGTTTCTCAGTAGTAAAAGTCAATCTCGGTCAGACTTTGCCAATACTAGTAAATTTTTGTTTTAAGTAGTAAAAGTCCTTTTTGGTCAGGCAGTATTTAAAATTTTTACATTTCTTTCTCAGTAGTAAAAGTCAGTTTCAGTCAGTCTTTCCAAATTCTTGTAAATTTTGTTTTAGGTAGTAAAAGACCGTTCGTGTCAGGCATTATTCAAATTTTGGAAATTTCTTTCTCAGTAGTAAAAGTCAATTTCAGTCAGACTTTCCAAATTCTTATCAAAATTTGTTTTTAGTAGTAAAATTTCGTTCGTGTCAGACAATAAAAGTCATTTTCAATCCCTAAAATCATTGTAAAATTTAGTATCAGTAGTACAAGTCAATTTTACTCAGCCATTTAAAATTCCTTAGAACTTTTTATCAGTAGAAAACATATCAGTTGATCCTAAACATAAAAAAAGAAAATTATCGTTATCAACTAATTTGTAAATGATATTTTCACTCGCGCGGTGAAAATGTCTCTCTCTCTCTCGCTCACTCTCTCTTGCCTTATTTATAGAATCTATTGTATGCAGTAATCTCATTAAGCTTAATGACCAGCTTAAACGACGAAAGTTCCTAACCATTTTTCTCCTACAATCTTGACGTATATATGCTGCTATAGCTTAAATCTCCAACTTAGTAATGGTTTAAACTCATATTAAATTTTACGCGAATATGCAGTGGTCGGACAAAAGAGTCCCTCGTTAAATTTTCCTATTTACGGTAAAAGACAGGATAATTAAAATTTTACTTTCGATTTTCATTAAAAAGCCAGTATAGCAACATGAAAATTAGAATTAATTTTGCAAATTTTCCCCTCATCTTTCAATTTATCCGAAACATATATATATATATTATATATAAAACAAGCCCAAAACGATCGTTGGTTAATTCAACTATAAACAATTTTTTTTTTCACTCGATTAACCAATGTGGTTAGGGAGAGAAGACGCTTGCAATTTTCCTCTTTAATTGTAGAATTTTGGACGAGATTGGAGCCAGAAGCGAGGAAGCGTGGCAAATGAATTAGCTTAGGGCGGTTGTAGGTTCCCACCCATTCCACTATTTTCACTGCTTTATCGTAACGATATTTATTACGTCAAGCCATAAGGTGAAAAAAAAATCCTTCCTACTTTTTTTTTGTCATCTAAAAAATACCTTGTTCCCCAATTTTTTTTCTGTTATAAAAAAAAGCGATAAAAAAAAATTTTTGTCTTCGAAATAGCGCAATTTTATTCGCCGCAAAATAATGTTAAGTTTACTACTAGTGATGCGCATGTGGAATATCGTTGGAAAACTTTTCGTGTTATATGAAATGTGTTATGAAAACTTTTCATTATTATTACACGCATAAAGTTTTGACCGCATACTAATCACGAGTATGAGAAAAATCACGGGTGATAATAAATTTTTTGATTAAAACAGAATTTTTACAATTGTTGGACTGAAAAAGGGAATTTAATTAAAAAGGTTTGTAGATAGTTTCAAAAAGAAGAAAAAAATAAAAACTATATTAAAACACTTAAAATGTATTTCATCTTCCTCTCTGATTTTTCTTATCTGCCTCTCTCTCTCTCTCTTGCTGATGATAGCAGAACCAATTCATGTTGTGGAGAGAGCGGTAGACATCGCGACGCCGTTAAAACTAGTTTTTTTTTTTTTTGACGGAAAAAAAGACTAATATTCTTTTAAAGAGGGTCGCTTTTCACGTTTAAGTGGTTCCATTCATATACTTGGAATTTGTGAATCTCTCTACTAAATATTATCATCAAGCCTGGTACTCTCTTCATAGTTAATATTTAACTATTTTTATTTTTTTTTCAACCTTGCTTTGAAAAAAAAAATTTATTTTATTCAAATAATCGTTTTTTTTTGACATCAAATAAATATTTATTTGATCCTAATAAATTTTTATTCAGATCGAATAATTTTATTTCAATCAAATCATTTTTATTTGCACCAAATAAATTTTTAATCCAACCGAATAATTTTTATTTGCACCAAATAATTTTTTATTCCGACCAAATAATTTTTATTTCCTTCAAATAATTTTTATTCGAACCAAATTTAATTTAATAACTAATGAGCATTTTTTTTTTTTAAACATTTTCCATTTTTCTAATTAAGAGAAAATTTATTGTTACAGTGGCCAATAGATTTTTGTTTGTTTGCACATAAAAAAACGACAAATTAAATAAGATTTATGTAAGATTGTAGGGGGGGGGGCAAAAGTAATTTTTTCGCAAACATGAACGTTTATCATTCAGTGTCTGCAAATGGAAATAATGTCGCAAGTTCGTTGCATAAAAGGACATACATCTTTCTTAAACATTAAAATACTGCTTTTCTCTATTTTATACTCAAGAATGTAATATATGCAAATATAACAGGCCACAATGCCAGTGATTATTGTATATGAAAAGAAGATAAATTAACAAAATTTATTACACACAAGTTAAAAGGAATAGAAATCTTTTTATAAATTTCTTTTAATTTGCTTTTAATCCTTATATAAATGTATCAATATTTGTCTAGATTTTTTGTTCACATTAGGAATTTTTTTTGACGTTGAATTTTCTTTCAAATATATAATAAATAAGTTCAAATAATAAATAAATAAACTAATTAATAAATTCTATAATTTTAATTATAAACTAAATTTAGTTTTCAATTAAAAGAAAAAAAATGGAAAATATCGAAACATTCGCGAAAAATGTCAGTAATAAATTGTAATAAATTGGCAACAATCCAAAAAAGGGATACGTTTCATGACTTGACCACTGGTTTATATATATACATACAAATCTCTCATCGTAAATACCGACATTTTGTAAAGCTCTCGAAGCAACTAACATTTATGGTGTATTGTTAAATATCTTTTTTAGAGTTGTTCGTTTATGCGAAACATTTTAACGATCTTAGCGTAGGCAAAAGTTTCATCCGACTTTTATGGTCTCAAATGTGTGTGTGTGTGTTAAAAGTACAGTAAAGATGCAGTTTTTAGTCACGAACTTGCGTACACTATGTTATTTCATAATATGTCAAATCAATTACTTTATCGAAAAAAGGAAGAAAAGAAAATAAAAAAAAATTTGTTTCATAAATTTTTTTTCAACATTAACATTTGTGAATTTTAATAAATGATAATTTTTTTTTTAAATCTATTCGAAATAAATTTTATTGAAATAAGTAATAATTAAATTGAAATTTAATTTTAATGAAAATAAATTGATTTTGCCAAAAAAAACTTATATTTAAAACAAAAAATAGGGAAATTTTTTTTTTTTTTTAACTCACGGCTGTCAATAAAGCGGAATGTCCCAGAAAAACCGGTTGCATTAGAGGGTGGTTCTTCACTGTGAAACTCGAGGATAAGGGTGGATCTCGAACTATAAAGAACTTGTGGAATATCGCGCAAGCTGCCGCAGAGAAATCCAGTCCAAGGCGTGTACTCAGAAACACCTTTACTTTCCAAATGCAAAAAGACTTTGAGGAAATCTCCTTTTGAGCAACTGAAAACAGAAAAATTTACATGTTACAATAAATACATAAAGACAAGATTCGTTATTTTTTAGTTCAATAAAATTTAATATAGAAATTTTAATTTAATTATTCTTCTCTTAATTTGTCTGACCAAACATATATTTTTCTACTTAATGCAAAATTATTCTTTCAAAAAGCTAATTATTTAATAATAGGACAAAAATTAATTTCATTAATTATTTTCTTAATAGAAAAACTGCATTTGTACTATTTGTCTGACTAAACATCGAGTTTTCTACTTATTCACTACTTTTTTATTCAATTAGTATTAATTTGTGTTAATTTTATTAATTTGTATTTAATAAACGTAAAATTATAAATTACAGCAATAAAGTTTTGCCTATAGTGATATGAAATTTAATTTAAAAATTTTTAATTCAAGTTTTATTAAATTTAAATATTAAATTCAATTTGATTATAGCGAAAAATTAATGTTATCTGTTTGAATACTCTAATCACAGACTATAGCTAATTGAATGATTACACTCGATGTTGAAATTGAGCAGGTGTGTGTTAGTTACTGGGTACACAGATTATCCTTCGTAACCACTGACAACACAACTGTGAAATTTACTATAAATATAGTTACAAAATTATTGTCTTATTAATTTTCATTTCTTAAAAATTATTACAATTAACTTAAATTATTACAATTAACTTAAATTATTACAATTAACTTAAATTATTATAAACTACTTTTATAGTTTCTTCACTGTAATTAATCATAAATTTTTTTTATATAAATTTAATCACCATTAAAAAAATTACATTTAATTAATTACATTTCATTTACATCAAAAATTATTTCACATTTTTTAATTAAACATGGTAAAATTAACTTTATTATTAATTTTGATGCTTTCCTCTAGATATATATATATATATTTTCGCAACTCGAGAATATGAAATATATATTTTTCACCAACTGTATTAAGAACATGAAATTCATTAAAACAAAGTGAAAGAAGTCAAAGTGAGAATTTTCTTTTGTCATCATAAGCTTATACTTTTTAGTAGAATTAAATTCTATGGTAACAATATACATAATATAATAAAAGAGTAATTTAATTGCAAAGAGAATTAATTAATTTAATCTAGTATATGGTTATTAATTGATTTTATTTTTAATTGATAAAATATAAATTGTGGAAAAAATAAACAATTTACAGGTTTATAGGTGTAATCAGCAAGATCACAGTTGTTGTGTGTTTGCCAGACGAGGACAATTTCTCATATTACACGGAAATTCGGGTTTCCTTCGAGTTTACCAAGGTCGCAATAATTTATCATGCTTGTCTCTGTAATTTCTAATTAATTAGAAGCATAGCCCTTATGGAATTAAATTTCATCCAACTTAAGATATGTTCTGTGTATTGTAATGTAACTCATTCAAATAATAATAATAATAATATATTTTCACTTAATAAATAATCTATCAAATTATTATATTTAATGAAAATGAAATATAAAATTAATGGAAAATAATTAGAAAAATTATTTTTATTGTTTAATTAGTTAATTTTTATTTATACAGAGCAATTATTTACCAAGCCTTTTTTTTAATTATAAAAAAAGGAAAGTTTCTTCTTGTTTTGTCACAGAAAGAGAGAGAGAATGAAAACTTCTTAATGAAGAGGTCTCTCTTAAATGGAGAAGAAAATCGTTGAGAGTAAACAGTTAAATGATTCGAAGAAGTAATCTCTCTCGATGAGGCGAGATAAATAAACGCTTAATCTTGTCCTTGAATACTTGCGGTAGGAACTTTAATTCTCGTCTCTCTCTCTCTTTTACTTTCGAAAAGATACAGTTTCTTGTTTGTAGAGAGAGAGTAAGAATTTAATGATGATGCTAAAAGCATCCGATAAATAACAAGATAATATCGATTCTAGTTAAAACAAATTTAATTTCAAAATTAAATAAAAAATTTCCAATAGCAATAAAAATATTAACAATATAAAATATAATATCAATAATAATAAATAAAGCGATGTTAAAAATATGAGATAAAAAAAAATTATGAAAATTGAAATAAATTATCAAAATTATATCAAAATAAATGTCAACTGTGATTTAATAAACGTTATACAGTAAAGCCGTAAAATATCTCTTTAAATAGATAAATGAACTTAAAAAAAAGAGAAAAAAAAATCAATAATGTAGAAAAATGGAGGAACTGAGCTGGTGAAAATATATGAACTGGACGAGGTAAACGAAGATTTATATAAGCATTTCCGCCTAGCGAGTTGCTCAACAAGGTCATAATCTTACTTCATCTTATGTTCGTTTTCATATCATATGCTGCACCCTAACACTTTCTGTACATTCAAGAATTTATGATCAAAATTTAAATTCTCTTCTTCAGTTACTAAACAATTTTCAACTCCCCTTTTCTATACAATATTAATAATATTCATTTTTTGAAATATTACCTCTCAAATAGTTCTCAAGAATTGGCAAGTTGACTTTTCAAAGGAAAAGAAAAAAAAATCATGAAAAATCAATTTTCTGATCAGAAAAGTGAAATAACATTGAAATGAATAACTGTCTTTAAGACCAGAGAAACGTTTTTTTGTACAGTGTAATATCAAAGAAAACTTCCTCTGATTGGCCTTATGCCAAACATTGACTCGCGAGACAAGTGTGAAAAATGCTTTGGGGATATTACACTCCCCAAGTTTATTTAGTCAAGTAGTTGAGAAGGAAAAATTTGGCGAATAATTTTTCAAAAAATACAAACAAAAAGTTATTTATCTAATATTCAAGGAAAATTTTTCCTATTTTTTATATTGATATTCCAATTTTTCGAATTTTATTTTTCTCAATGTTTGACAATAATACATGTCTGACCAAACATTGATTTTTCTACTTAATGAAAAATTAGTGTTTCAAAAATTTAATTTTCAATTAATACAAAACAAACTTTGTTTAAAAATTATTTCTATTTTTTACAAAAGAAAACATTGCATTTACTATATTTGTCTGACTAAACACTGATTTTTCTACTTAATTAAAAATAATTTCTTTGCAGAAACAATTATTGATTAATTTTATTCTCAATGTTGAACAAAACGATTTCAATTTTTTTCAAACTTTTTATAATGGATTTTTTTGTTACCACTTGTCTGACTAAACCTTGTTTTTTCTACTTAGAACTAAATATTATTTCTTTGGATTAGATAAGCTATTAATAATATTCTACAATTTCTGTAAACTTTCAAATTTTTGTCTGACTGATCAAAAATGTTTCTATAAAGGTAAATAATTATTTTGCCAATTTTTTTATTCGTTACATTGTATTAAAAAAAAATCAAGTAATGAAAAATATTTTAATAAAGAACTCTTGTCTGACTAAATATTGATTTTTCTACTAATTGCCTCCAAAAAAATAGTTATTTTAATTAAAAGCTTCAACGTTTTCGTTTTAGTTTTCTTTCCGTTTTTTTTAACTTTTATCATATTTCAGTTTATTTGTAAATGTAGCTGTTTTCTGCTTCTCTGAATCTCACAATTTCCGTTTTTAAATTTTCATTCCAAACTTTCAAACTATCTTCAAGTTTCAATTGTTTAAAGTTACACTATATTTATTTTCCTGTAGTTTTCAATTTTTCAAAAATTATTTTTCCAATTGTTTTCAAATTCTAATTTATTTTTCAGTTCTGGTTATTTTTTTTAATAATTATAAAAATACAAAAAAAAATTGAAAATTGTTTACAAATTTAATTTTTCCAAATTGTTTCCTCAAAAAAGTTTTTTTTTTTTGGGTCAAAAAGTTGGACTTTTTAATTTTTAAATTATATATTCTCGTGAAAAAGGACAATTTTTCCAATATATTCACTTTTCCAGAGATCGCGAAAAGTTACTAGATACAGATTTACGATATTATATACACAGGAGAATGCTTTTATCTAGAATACATCATTATCGTCTCCTTTGGGAAACGTTTTTGTAACTTTTAATGAAAAATGATACGTGAGGAATTTAATTCACAAAATTATCTACAAAATTTGAAACTTTGATTATTATACCGATAATATGAATGCTTAATTCGGTATGATATCGAACAAAATTTTAATAATTAGAAAGAGACTCACATATAGCCGGAAGATATTCCCCCCCCCTGCCCTCCTCACTTTTTATTATTATTATTATTATTATTATTATTATTATCATCATCATCGAAATAATACTACATCGCCAAGAGCATTATATCGATTTCCAAAAAAGGATAAATTTTATAAATAGATATCTTTTTATCTAACCCAAAAAAAATAGAGCAAAAATTCTGTTTTATCATTAATTTTATATTATCTTTTTCTCAAAATAAAAAAAAACTGCGATAGATATGAAATATTTTATCAAGAAAACACTGAAAAAAAATTGTCATTTACATTTAAATGAAGTAACTTTAAACACATTGGAATAATAAATGTTTTTTGTGTTGTATTATGGAGAGTTTTATTATTATTATTATTATTTTTATTGTAATTATTATTTTTATTGTAATTATTATTTTTATTTTTTATTTTTATTATTATTAAAAGAAATGACAAAAGTTGTCGATTTAAAGAAAATGGATCTTTACAATATATAGTGTGACTGTAACGCGATCTAGAGTAGAGTATATACTTGGTATGTTCCTGTGTTCTTCTTCTACTTTATCTGATTCACTAAAAAACATCGCCAGTAGTTCGAAGCAAACGAAAGCTATTTTAAAAACCTTCTACAAGATCCGACACGACATATGTTCGTATAACGTGACTTGTATGATACAAAAATATATACTCGAGACACATACTCACATATTATATAGAAACTTTCCAGCCAAATGTAAAAGCTTTACAGAAAAATATATTTTCTCAAAAAAAAAAAAAAAAAAAAGAAAATTTATGTCAAATCTCTTATCAAACACTAATCAAAGTCGAGATTTTACTCTAGGATTTTATATCGGGAATTTTTCAATTTTGAATAA